AAGCGCCTTGCTCTGCTTTGGGGGCCTTTGCGGGGCCCCTCAGCATAACACCACAAAACGGTGGCTCTTGCCACCACCAAACCATGATCTCAGGCTGAAAACCCCAGCTCAGATTCCAGCGACTCTCCTTCAGGCCAGTTTCCCATTTTCAATTGGCTGGCATATCAGATAAGCGATCATGTCAGCACGGGGAAAGCTGTATTGTACTGCGCTGTCAGCAGAAGTCAGTAATGCTATCAAATCACAGTTGCCCGCTTTAGCCGCCCAACAAGGTCCCCTTCATTGACATCACCCTTAACTCGCCCACCACCGCCCTCGTTGCAGCGCCTGCTCCCCTGATCTGTTCTGGGACCCACATTACATACATCCATGCTGCGGTAATCCCCTCCCAAGCTTTTGTATTGCTTGGAGGCAAACCGTCCTCCAAGGCCACGGCAAAACTTGCAGCTGCGATAGCTACACGTGTGCTCAGCGGTCGAGCTACTTCTGGACCAAGGGCTGTTGACCCTGCTTGATGCGCGCGCGGTTGACAAGGCACGCCTTCTTCATTCTCGGGTGTAAGCATCTGTGGTAGACCGGGGTGGGCAGGAAAGCGGGGTTGCGACAATGCACATTGCCGGATGCGACTGAGTCACCAGCATGCCCCTACTTAAGTCAGCTTGAACGCATACAAATGTTGCCACATACACGATGAAAGTCGCAGCGGGGACGCAGCCGACAGCGGGCGGGCTCACGTCTTGCAGTTGCCACCTGCGCACAAAGGGGAGTGCGGGCACGGTGATTTGCAACACTGTACACCCCACACAGACATCACATGGATTGTGCTGGGATCCACAAGAGCCCGCCGCAACCTTGTGTGCGTGCACAATAGATGAAGGGTTCGCTCGGACCCGCAAGCCAGAGCTGCTCACATTTTGGGGTCTTGGCGCTCGCGGCCCATCTGCGCCGCTTCCCCTCGGCCCGCCACAGCCACGGCCCGGTCTCGTCCTTCCTTTGTTCTTTGTTGGTGCGGGGCCGGCCGGCCTGGGTGGTGCCCAGCAGAGGGCCCGCCGCACCTGCTTCAACCGCCCGGCCCGCCGTCGCCCCTGTCGTCCGCTGGGCTGAGCGCGCGGCGCCACCCGCCCCTCCCGCCGCGGCGGCTGCGAGCTCGCGGAGCCGCCGCAGCCGCCGCAGCTTAGCCGCGCCCGGCGAGGAGCCGTGCAGCTGGCGCCGCGACAGCAGCAGCCAGCGCGCGGCGCTGACTACGACACCCAGCTCTTGCGCCAGCGGCGCCCGCAGGGCCCCCTCGCCGGCGGGGCCTCCAGCCTTGCTTCGCTCGTGTGCTGCTTGGCCCTCCGGGCCTACCGCGCGTGCGGCCGCCCCCCAACAGGTGTCCAAATTGCAGCCCGCCGCCGGGCTCAGCGCCTGGTCAGCTCTTGCCTCAAGATCGGAGTAATCTGAGGAAGCCTCCACCATGCTCGCGTTAGGGTCAGCCGCAGCCCTGCGCATGCGGCGCGCCTGCCGGCGCTCCTGGCGGCACGCCTCCACCTGTTCAGCAAACAGGCCCGCGGGGCCGCTCGCGCGCGAGAGCAGCGCGAGCGCTCCGATGGGGTCCGCGGCGGCGCCGCGCGCCAGCAGGGTCGCCGCGCGCGCGGCGCCGGCGCCGGCGCCGCTGAGCAAGCCGCACAGCCGGGTGCAGGGCCAGTCGAATGTGTCAAGCGCTGCAGCTGCGAATCCTGTGACGATGGCTGTTTCCGGATAAACCTCTTTGCCCCGTTGCCCCCCACGCTGCTGCTCCTGTGGTGTCTGCTCTTGCGCTTGCTGCTGCTGCTGCCGCTGCTGCTGCTGCTGCTGCTGCCGCCGCCGCTGCTGCTGCTGCTGCTGCTGCTGCTGCTGCTGCTGCTGCTGCTGCTGCTGCTGCTGCTGCTGCTGCCTACTCAGCTGCTCGTTCTGCTGCCCTTCTTTTGGTCCCTTCCGCAATGTGTGCAGCTCCTCCTCCCGCCACCCACTTGGTTGCGCCTGGCGCGCCCATTCTTGCAGCTGCTCTGTGCCACCACGCCCATCCACAGATGCTGCTCCATCGCCCGCTGCCGTACTGGCTGCAGCCTGCCCGTCCAACTCCCCTTCCTCCCCTTCCTGCTCCTCCTCCTCCTCATCGTCAGCACAACACCGCCTGCGCTGCTTGCAAGGCTGAGATTCCGCCCCTGCCGCTGCGCCGCCGCCGGCCTGCCGCACCGGCGTTCCCGCCTCCGAGCCCCACTCGAGCGCCGCCAGCGCCGCCTCCGCGCGCTCCACGGCCGCCGCGGCCGCGCCGTACGACGGCAGCGCGCCGCCCATACGGCGCCGTTCGCGCGCGGCGCCCTCCGCAACGTCGAGAGCGCGCGCGGCGCGCGCGGTTGGCGGCAGGGCGTCCTCCAAGGGGGCCAGGAATACGTCATAGGCCGCCTCCACCAGCGGCGCCAGGGCCTCGTCCCCCTGCAGCTCCTCCGCCAGGTCCTCCCAGCCGCCCTCCTCGCTGCACACGCCGCGGCGGCGGCCGCGGGCCATGACCTGGGCCGGGGAGCCAGGGGCGCGGAGGCGCGTGTGAGCGCGTGTGAGCGCGTGTGAGCGCGGCGAGGGTCTGATGTGCACCAAGGACGGGGCTTTCTCGTGCACAAACGCGGCCGGCGTCGCCATGCGGGCGGTGGACGGGGCGGGTCACGAGCATGTTGAGGCGCGGAAGACGGGCGAATGTCGCGACCAACAAGGGCATCGCCCTTTTTGAGCTCCCAAGAAGCCTCTTTTGCGCTCCACGAGCCCTACAAACCGCGCCCGGAACCTATCCACACAGCCCCCCCCCCACCAAGCTCCACAACTTCTTGAGCTCCAGCGCCGGCGCGCGCGCCGACAGCCGCGGCACCTGCACCCTGCAGCCCAGGAACGCCCCCAGCCTGCTGCGCCACTGCGCCTCTTCTTTGCTCACGGGCAGAGGCGGCGCCGGCGGCAGCGGCGGCGGCGGCGGCGCTGCCGGCGACGGTGAGCGCGCACCAGCGGCCGCCGTTCGCGCCGCCGGCGCCGGCGTTGGCGTCGCCGGCCCTGGGGCGTCCCGGTGCTGTGCGGCGGCGGCGTGGCGGCCGGGCGGCGTCTCTTTGGAGGCGTCGAGGCTGCGGCGCAGCAGCCTGCCGTGAGCGGCGGGCGGCTGCGATTTTGCATGGGTGGGACCGGGTCACACAGCAGCAGCCATGAGTGACGGGATGCGCGCACATTGGGCTACACGGGTCTCATAAACCCAAGCACACGCAGCGATTTCACATGTCCCCCTCATCACGAAGCCCAGCGGCGGCGTTGCTCACCGGGCCGCCAGGGCTATGGCCGATGTCGCCCTTACCCCCACCACCATCCCCACGCCCGCCCCCGCCGCCGCCGCCGCCGCCGCCGATGCCGCTGTCGCCTTCAAGGCCCCGCCCGATTGCGCGCCACGCCGCACTCGTCGCCCAGCCCACCGGGACGCCCCCTAAGGTGCCCACCACCGCCGGTGCCGCGCCCGGCCGCAGCCGCGCGCGCGCCTCTGCGTCCCGCACGGCCGCCCCCGGGTCCCGCGCCCCCTCCGGCAGGTGCGCGGCGTTGTGGCGCGCCGCCGCCGTCAGCAGGCGCGTGTGGCCTTGGGAGCGCATGTCGATGCGGGGGCCTGCGGGATCCGTCGGGTAGCCGGCAGGCAGCTGCACAAAGTCCTGCGGCATGCGCCAGCCCAGCACCCCGCCGCCGTCGTCTTTGCCGCTGTCACTCAATGACCCTCGCGTAGCCTCGGGCGCCTGGTTGTCGTCATAGCTGCCGCATGCGCCTGGTGCGACTGGAAGCGGCCCAGAGCCATGCGTGTGGCTGCCCTGCTGCGGCCGCCGCTCGCTCGGTATCACCCGCACCGGCGCAAGCTGCTTCCGCCGCCGCGAGCGCGCCCTCGCTGGCTGGCGGCCGACGGCGTCTGTGCACTGGGCGCGGGGCACAATGCAGCTTGCATCCTCCTCTGACAGCTCGAACCGCTGTCTCAGCCGCTGCAACTGCTGCTGGCGCTGCCGCTGCGGCTGCTCCTGGCCGTGCTTGTGGTGCGGCTGATGCGGTTGCAGCTGCCCTGTATGCAAGCTCTCCTCCTCCTCCTCCTCCTCCCCCTCCTCCTCCTCACTTCCCTCCTCCTCTTCCTCTTCCTCCTTGTAATTTGAAACCGACGATGCGTCTGCCTCCCACCCACCAGCCAGGTCTGCCCTCTGCAGCGGCAGCATTGGTGCCAGGGCCGGCCTCGGCCGCCCCTGTGGCCCCTCCTGCCTCACGGCTGGCGCCGCCCGCGGCGCGGGAGTGGCGACGCCGGCCGCTTTGAGACGCTTGGGCGCTGGCTCAGGCTGGCACCGCTCGCCAGAGGGGCGCTCAATGTTTCCGGCCTGCCGCGTGCCCCCATGGCTTGGCTCATCAGTCCCACTGGCAGGCTGGTGCACGGTCACACTGCTGCGCTCGGGGGGCTGGGCAGGGACGGAGGGCGCCTGCCGCGGCGTACCCATGGATGCTGCTGGGGCCGATGTTGGGCTCGCGCCTGCGCCGGCGTCCTTGCTGTCTGCAGGGGCCATGGGGCGGAGGCGCTGTGCACGCCCTGCCGCGCCTCGGGTACGGCACAAACTAGGACGACGCCCTACACCTGGTATGGGTAACGAATGCGCTTGATGCTACAGCGCGTCAGCCTATAATCAAGATGTGCTCGCCTCTAGTCCATTCTCTAATTCTCGGAGATCTGGACATCAGACGTACGTGTGTGCGGGGCAGCGTGCTAGGATCCAATGATCATCAGGTTTATACGCCTTGATCAAAATAACATAAGAAGCAAACTAGCCTCAAGAGCTCGTCCCAGAAACTCACGCTTAGTGACGGCATCGCCGAGCGGCTGCCTGTGCCTGTCATCCAGAGGACACTGCTGCTGCTCATGACAAACATCCTCTGCTCCGAAAGCATGGCTCCCAGGAGTTGCCTTGCCGCCACTAGAGTAGACGTTCAGAACTGACTGGCAGCTGTATCAAACCGATACTGACGCGCCCCAGCAGAGCTGAGCGAGCGGCAGGAACGAACCCTTCAGCCTGACTAGAACTGTCCCTTGACGATAGATGGGGCCTGTCGTACCGCCGTGCTGCAAGGAGCGGCCTGACTAGAACTGTCCCTTGATGATAGATAGGTCCTGTCGTACCGCTGTGCTGCAAGGTGCGGCCAGGCAAGGGCACCCCGCAGACTGTTTTGCCGCGTGCAAGTGCCCTGCGACTAAAAATAAACGAATAACCCATGCGTCCCAGCCACGCTTGACGCACACGCTAGCACAGCAGCAGCCACTGCCGATGCGGCCGCTGGCTTTGCCGTAATGGGCGGTCACATATTGCGGGTCAAGCGATGGTTGTGACCAATTGCCAAAACAACAGCAAGAGCAGCAGCTCTGTCGTCCGTCCAGAGCGCAGAGGCACTCGTGCACCCAGGTCAAGGGCGTTGCTTCTCCCCAACAGCACCCCTGAGCAAATTACATTGACCCCTGCTCAAATGCAGATCTTCCAATGCTTGCTTGTGACAGCGACCACCGCTGTGGCATACATACAGGTAGCACGGCAGTTGTTGTATCCTTGTTATGCTTTATTCCTGCACTGGACGTGCTGGCGCCCCAAGCAAGTCCTGTGAGATCAAAGCCAAGCTGAGGGTTGCCCCCTCAGCATTATTGGGTGCACAGCAGACCCACGCACGTTTGAAGTGTTGTGCGCCCCCCTGCGTTTTCAGAAGTGCTCAAGGCAGGTGCAACCACACCGCTGCTGCACAGTGGGTAAATTGTGCACCCCAATTGTGCACTAGCCTTCCATGCGGCAGGCCCGTGGCGGAATGAGCCCCGGTCTGCTGTCGAGCAGGTCTGCATGCACATCATCCTCTCTTCGGCACACACAGGCCACCCTCTCCTTTTTTTAACCAGTGATGTTTACAGGGTATCAGCTTCCTTTCTCTGCACATCCACAACTGTCATCTACGCTTGCCTTGCCACCAGCCTACCAAAGTAGCCCCGCACAGGAAACAGTGTCATGGTTTGGTGGTGGCGAGAGCCACCGTTTTGGGGTTTTGTATGCGTGTGCGCCCAACAAGGGGCGTCACAGCAGCAGCAGCTGGGAGGCCGCTTAACCGCCGAAGCCGTAGAGGGTGCGGCCCTGGCGCTTGAGCGCATAGACAACGTCCATGGCCGTCACGGTCTTACGGCGCGCGTGCTCGGTGTAGGTCACGGCGTCGCGCACCACGTTCTCAAGGAACACCTTGAGCACGCCACGGGTCTCCTCGTAGATGAGGCCGCTGATGCGCTTGACACCACCCCTGGAGATTGTTGGAGGGTGGGTGGGTATGAGAGAGTGAGGACAAGGAGAAAGTGCTGAAGTGCAGCGAGCAGCACCACCACAGACAGCAGCTGCGCAAGTCAACAATGCGCCACTGCCCAAACCCCAACTGGCTAACCCAACCAGCACCATGCCCCACACCTGCGTGCCAGGCGGCGGATGGCGGGCTTGGTGATGCCCTGGATGTTGTCACGCAGCACCTTGCGGTGGCGCTTGGCACCACCCTTGCCGAGGCCCTTGCCGCCCTTGCCGCGTCCAGACATGTTTGCCGGTTGTTGTTGAGTTGGGTGTGCTGTGCCACAGCAGTGAGTGTTGTGGCTGGCTCTGGGCGAACAAACGGCTTTTGAAGGGCGCCATGGAGCAACGAACGAGCCCAGCTTCGTGCTGCCTTCGCGCCCCTGAGCCAGCTACCCGCGAGTTTCGTCCTCTGCCGTCCGAGCGAGGGAAAGCATATGGAAGCTGGGTATGCTTGCACGATGTTGATAAGCATCGCCGTTGCATATCGGCAGCTCACAAGCAACCTCCAGTACCCTCTGCTCATCGATCCGAGAAGCAACAACAGCATCAGCCAGCATGGCCCGCACCAAGCAGACTGCCCGCAAGTCCACCGGCGGCAAGGCGCCCCGCAAGCAGCTGGCCACCAAGGTGCGCAGCCGTGATGCTGTGGGGTCCATGCGGAAAGGGCTGGAGCTGGGCGAGCGGTCTGAGCCAGCGCTGTTGTTGAGCAGCAGCGCTGCTGCGCACCCAGGCACCATCACGCCTGCTGCATTTCACGCCGTCACCTCCCTCACAACCCCCTCTATGACAACCCTGCCCAACCATCCGCCAGGCCGC